TGCACCAAGTGCAAAAACTGAGCAGCACGGGACAGACAGTAATAGGCAGAGATAACTTACTGTGTTGTTATGAATTCTGGTACAGAGGGTACCATTTGACGAAGGCATGTCTTTGCTGGTACCTTAAAAAACTTGATTGCAGGCATCATGTTATGCCAAACAAACTAACTACAACATAATAATAATAAGAATAATAATGAAAATATATAAAGCATCGGTATCCGCTGCAAGTGTTAAATTATCACCAACCCCCTGTTTTTTCCTGGTTGGTGTAGCTACTACCAGAGAAGGACAACTTGCCGAACACAACTACCATGGGGGTGGATGTTCTATGCAAGGGTGGGAAGGTCGTCACTTTAAAGCTGCATTCAATATTTCAAGCCATTATGTTGCAAGCTGCAAAAGACTACCCAAAGTCGACCAAGACAGAATCTCACATGACATCTGTAAGAGATGCCATTAATGACGAGGGTAGGAAGGTAGCAGTCAAGCTTGGGCTTATTAAAATTACACCCCGCATGAGCCAAACTGTTGTATTATTCTGTTAATTCAATTTGCTCCCACATTAGGCCCTCCTATTCTCGGAAAAGTACAGGTATTACTGTCAACCATAAAAGAAACTAGAACTTCCGGATGAAGGAGTCAGCCAGACTCAACTTTGAAGAACTGCAATGTATCCAGCCCAACCTGTCCAGGAAAAAGGCCGTACAGAAGCCGTTTTGTGGATGATTTTGAGCTGATTTGAGAGGAAACAAGACGATATCAACAACATCAAGACGGACCAGGCCCTTATTAAGAGCCATTTAGGTTTAACACAGGGACAAAAGTCGGAACCAAGGGTTGTGCAAATCTCTAACGATCAGGTATTGTTGGGATGCGATGGAATTGGTACGTGTACCATCATTAGGGCTGCCTATTCTGAGTTGTACACTAAGGCATCAGGCCCAAAAGAGTTGGTCCTGAAACTGATGTCGGCTCTTTTTTTCAAGTGAAGATCTGGCTAGAAGCAACTTTCATGGGGGGAAGTTGTCTGCAAGGGAGGGGTCATCAGAAAGGACGTGCTGAAGCACACTAGGGTATTTCAGGCAATACTGGCACAAGCGGAAAAAGAGTTCCCCGATTCCACAAAAGGAGACGTATACAGGAAGGCACTCACAGACGCCGTCAACGGAAAGTGTCGAAAGATAGCAACTAAGTTTTAAAATCATGGTTTGCCAACAGATAATTAGATAATCCGGTTTAATTTCGGTTTAAAGTTAACCAGACCGAGGCAGTAAAATTTAAAATCATGAAGTGTCGACACAGATAATTAAATAATCAGGTTTGTTTTCTGTTTGAAGTTAACCAGACTGGGAAAGGTTTATTTTCAGTTAAAAGTTAACTGATATATTTTTTCACATTGTAGTTTCAACTGATATCAAACAAATCTATCAATAGTAGAACTTGTATCCCTTTGTTATTGATATAAAAAAAATACATGTAGTTTGTGGATGATCATCATAGTGAGACTGGGCATGCAAATATCACAGGAAAGAAGAAATTGCCACTTCAATAGGAATGTACATAAATTCCAAAATAGCACGACTCATCTATTAAGAAAGGTTTGAAGTAATCGTCACCCGCCGATGATGTTTATATTTCTTCCCTGACCGAAACAACAATAGGTCTACCGTTTTTGGAAGGTTAAAAAATGACGTTAATTTTTTTTTGTTTAAGGTATTCATCACTGCACGTTCCAGTTTTCACATTCGGCCCAATGTTTAATACTTGTACATTTCTTTGTAAACTGAGTATTTTCTCAAATAATATTTTTCTGATACATTTCTCTCTCATCCTCGAGCCAACTCGAAAACATTTTAATCAACAAAGCTTGGTGCTTATGCATTTTCGACTTTCATTAATTTTGTTTTGAGATCGCAATGCTTTTGTTTGTGGCGATTTTACGAAGCACATTTTTCTGTGTGAACATCACCAAGTGCCAGTGACCACCGGCGATACGTAGCCTGCGTGGGGCCACGGCCGGTCAACATAGCAGTCCACGCACCACGAGTGTTACTGTAAGGTACGGACCAAGTCCGGCCAAGGTGCAGCATTTTTTGTAAATGACTTAAAATTCCTTCTTTTTTGAAAGAGTACCACCTGTCTTCAAAATTAGATCCGTTAAAACGACATCAACTCTTTTAGGTTTAGTACCATAACATAACATATTACAAATAGGCCCTATATAAAATACCTCTTCTGACTGATTTTCTCTCCATCCGAAAACTAAAAATCAACATTCCGTAAATGCAGTCCGGTATGTACATGTAAACACTAGATGTGTACCGTCACAAAGTCGTGCGTTCAACATGTGTATTTTCAAGCTTCAACAATGAAAGTACTTAAAGTTAAACAAGCTTTTGAAACTTCAGTGGCATCTTTGGGGACTGATGAAAGGCTTTTGTTCATTGTCTTTTGTTGTTGATCAAGATAATCTTACCGGCTGGCCGAGGCGCGCTTAACGCTAATCTTCACAGTGTGCCAGGGCGGGCCGAACGTCAGGCTGTGTCATGAGCATGATTAAGATATCAATGCTACCAACACAATAGCCAATTTTAATGAGCCCTCACGAGAGCCATCCCGCCGCAGAGCGCCTGGCTCACTGAGAACATTGGCCAGGCAAAAAAACCACCGCAAAGGCGCCGCAGTATGGTGCGCCCCAGCACGCTGAGTAAACTAATAAAGACGCTGGACCTAAGGGAAGGGGTTTGCCCCAGTGTTATTCTGGCACTGGCTACAGCACCTTGTATACGGTGAGCAATGGGTCTCATACATTGCATATTCCTCATAAACTTCATTTATAATTACCTGTCTTTAATAATAGACCTTACTACCAGTGCCTTGAGTATCTAAGCAGAGACGAAAACAGGCAGAAGCAGAGAAGACTGGTATCATTTCTTATGTGAAAGTAAGTAGCATACATTGTAGTACTTTGAATGATGTTTAACACGGCCACGGCCACTCCAGACTCCCATAACAGAGGAGGAAGTCAAGAGCGCCATCAATGCACGCCACCGCAATGGCCATGCTGCCAGTCCAGACGGTATCAACAGCGAGCTCTTCAAGCACTCCGAAAACCTTGTCTCCCACCCACTGGCCAAAACCATCAACTCATCGTTTGAGCATCACATGATCATAGAGACACTAGGAGAAGGCACACTAATCACTCTTCCCAAGCCAAAGAAGCCCCCCCCCCCGGCCCACCAGCCAACCTCCTGCCGATAGCCCTGCTGAACAGCATAACAAAGATTTTGTCCATCATCACTCTACGCCGCATCAGAGACAAGATCGACCGCTTCACCGGACCATATCAAAGTGGTTTCAACAGAAGCAGGAGCTGTGCAGACATTGTATGGGCACAACGTATGCTGACCTCAGTTGTTATGACAAGGAATTGGGACTTCCACAAGATCTGTCGCGAGCTTTCGATACCATCAAGTGTAAATGCATCCTAGATGTCCTACTACAAGCAGGCTGCAACGAAGATGAACTAAGACTAGCAAGATCACTGTTAGCAGGGACGAAGCTCAGGGTCCATGTAAAAAACGAGCTGTCAGACTCATTTGAGACCTCAATAGGATCCCCCCAGCCTATCACCAGTCTGTTTCACCTGCTACCTTGCTGCTGCACTCTCAACCGTCCGTCACAGAGCAAAGATGGTCAATGTTAGGCCATGTCCTACGTATGGATCCCGACACACCCGCTCAGAGGGCCTTAGACTTTGCTGTTACTGGCTCTCAAGCCTACAAACCAAGACGAGGACGGAATTGCATAAATCTACTGGGCACAATACGTGCTGACCTCAAATGGGCTGGATTCGGACCCCTCCGCACTGTGAAACAACTCCATTGCCTACGGCAACTCCCCCATGACAGGACCAGGTGGCCGAAGACCAATGTGAAGGACTGATTGCGGCTGCAAGATGTCAAATCCGTCTACCGCAGCTGCAGTACACAGTATATATATATATATATATATATAACAAAGATTAATACCAAAAGTCGCTTACAAGTAGAAAAATCGTGTACAAAGTCTATGGGATTTGCCACGGAACAAAAAGGAGAGAAAAAAAATGAGAACAAACAGAAAGGCTTTTCCGCTACTTTGCAGAAAAGCAACACACAAAAAGGGGAAAAACCCCTTAACAAAAACAAAATTTGTCCCCAATTTAAATTGGAAACAGCTAACTAGAAGTGTATGTCTGTCGAAAACAGAACTTGTGGGTTTTTCTTTTAAAATAATTACTGTTGTGTTAAAATTAAATTTTGGATGGTTCAAGACAGCATAATTAAGAATTGTTGGTAGATACCTGAGCTACATAAGACTCTGGCATTTTTGTTATAATTATTACTAAATGTCCTCACTGGTCGACTGACGAAATTCTCCACAACCTCATCTACCAGAAAGACAATCTCATGCCAAAGAGAAGAAAAACTCTGAATAGGGAAATTGACCATCATGCAACAAAAAGACAAATTCTAGCCATTTTTAAGTTTTCGTTTTGCCAATTGGAAGGGTATGTGTACATAGAAGCCTTCTGCAGGCATGCAATTGGGAATTTAGCGGGGAAAAAACGAGAAATTTCAAACCACAATAAGACTTTGTACAGTGTTATTCAATTTATGAACGGCATTCTTGAGAAGTTAAAACCAAGGAAATCGGCTGATCCGAGGAAAAGTTGCTTGCCTGCTTTTGCTCAGGCAATTGTTTTCTGTTTCTGGTGTGATGTCATTTCAGGCCAAAACCCCAATGTTACAACTTTTCAGTACCAAAAGTTGTTTTTAACCGTAACAGTTTTTAACCGAAAATCCACACCCCTGTTTTGGAGGATTTCAGCTGAATCAGGATACTTCATATTGAACAAGTTGGGGTATTTTGATGGATTCAGGACAGTAAGCCTAACAGCACTGCAGGATTTTGATAGATTCAGAATACTTCCATATTGAGCAGTTGGGGGGGGGGGGGGGGCTTTTGACGGATTCAGGATCTCAACAATTTAACCCCTGGCTCACTGGTGGATACTGATGGACTCACTGGATACCAACATTTGTTTGCATGACAAAACTGATGGATTTTGGCAGATTCAGGAAACTTTCTAGTAAAAATACCCAAGGGGTTATGGTTAATGGCACATTACTGCCCGTGGAATGCACCCACTTGGCTACAAAACAATTTTGGATACAATTAAATGGCAAGAACAGTAAAAGTAAAATATAAACTTCCACACAAGCATCCATTAAAAACTGGCTGCATTTGTGTTATTCTTGCAAGTACCGTGCGAGAACAAATTTCGGGGGTCAATATTTTGTTCTCGAAAATCAAGCTGTGGATGCGTAAGAAAAAACATTTGTGTTGGTGCTCTGTGTAGTTTATGTGACACACACTGTGTATTGAACGTTGAACGGACCGGACAGGATTTACGTATGCGTATATGCCTTCACATCTGATGTTAAGACATAAGGGGACGGTAAGACATAAGGTTAGTTTCCTTTCAATCAGACCTTAAAAAAGTAAACAATACAAAACATGACATTTTGGGGATTTCAGGCAGGAATACCCCTTTCAAGTTTTGTATATTGTGGTATTGTAAACAGCATTAGTCAATGAGCAAACGTTTCTCAAGAACCTTTTCAATGAGCAGATTTTTTTGAATTCACAAGAACCAAGTCATTTTTCCCCAATGTACATTTTACCTTTAATGTACAAAACAACTTAATTTGCACAAATTACGGCAGGAATATCAGTTGATGGAGCATATATATGTGACGTGGTATGTCAAATTCAGGCACATTTGGGCAAGAAGTCAATTTTCAGTTACTGCAATATTAGTGACATATAGGTCTCTCTCAAATGATGTGACTACAGATTGCCACATGCATCTCGGCATCTTGGCGTCAAATGTTCGTGACGCTCATCGGCTGCACCTTTTTTCAATTTTTCAATTCAGAAAATATGAGTAACATGCGCAGGTGATCAGAACATTTTGTACTCACCGTGCACAATGGCGTTGTGCATTCAAAATGACAATGTAATTTTCTTAATATGTCTTATAAGAGATACATCTATAGACTTCGCTCTTACAAACACCACTTTTTTCTGAAATTTGATACTACAGCATGGTTTTGACATACTGTGTCACATAACATATAAAGAAATATTACTATGTTATTCAGTGGCGGATCCAACATTTACAGAAACGAGGGGGGTGCCAATAAAGGATGCAAACCTGAACATTCAAGCAGGGCACATTGTACTTGCTATTTAATGTGGGTGAAAAGTTTCTGCCTTGAATATATCACAAGTGAAGTGAAAAAAAAAGGAAAACAGACAAGATGAATGCACTTCCCATTCTGCCCATCTGATCCGCCACTGTTACTTGAACAAAGCAAATCAACACCGAGCTAGGATATATTTTTACATTCAAGAAAGAAGTAAACAGTTACCACATTCCCCTGGTCTTGTGCCTGTGGTCCCGTCCAGTGTGGATCCCCTCAGCGTGGATCCCCTCCAGCGTGGGTCCCCTCCAGCGTGGGTCCCCTCCAGCGTGGGTCCCCTCCAGCGTGGGTCCCCTCCAGCGTGGGTCCCCTCCAGCATAGGTTCCCTCCAGCGTGGGCTCCCTCCAGCGTGGGCTCCCTCCAGCGTGGGCTCCCTCCAGCGTGGGCCCCCTCCAGCGTGGGTCCCCTCCAGCGTGGGTCCCCTCCAGCGTGGGTTCCCTCCAGCGTGGGTCCCCTCCAGTGTGGGTCCCCTCCAGCATGGGTCCCCTCCAGCATGGGTCCCCTCCAGCGTGGGTCCCCTCCAGCATAGGTTCCCTCCAGCGTGGGCTCCCTCCAGCGTAGGCCCCCTCCAGCATGGCTCCCTCCAGCATGGGTCCCTTCTAGCTCCACCTGTATGATCCAGTCTATATGTCTCTGGGTAAGAGGTCTCCAGGTGAGGGCCGCAGAGGGTGCTGGAGCTAAGCCAAGTGGTCTCTCGATCTCCTTCGCAAGCATTTACTGGAAACCAGCATGGCCTGTTCACCAAACATACATAATACATAATATCAGATCAAGACGCAGAGTTGAAATACATGTAGAGTCAATTACAAGTCAAATCACAGGTCTAATAATACTCAAGACACACTGTGATTTTTAAAGCATTGCATTTTTTACAACTAAATCTGAAACCTAAAATAGCATGTGTTGGATTTTACCCACTTGATCGTTCATGTGGTTGTCCGGATCAGACCGGCCACATGCTAGCGGGCAGCGTGGTATGTACAGTGGTACCCTACTGTTGTGTACCATCATGTGCTGTGCACTCACGCACCACACACTGTATAATTACCGTGTGATACAGTCTGCATCACACGCTTTCCATGTCAGCAGGTCAATGTTTCAACTTTCATCCAGTGGGAAAAGGCTCCATTCAGTGTTGGCCTAGGTGTTTGTATATTCCCTTTACGGCCGGCAAGTGAGATCAGCTTCATCCTGAATCAAGACTCAGCAGCACTGATTTCAACAAAATGTACCCAAAGCAGCTTGATTGTACTATTTGTGTCCTTATTTTGTGTGGTTCATGAAACACCACAAAGCATATATGCATAAAAGGGAGGGGAGGAGAGAAGGGAGGGGGGCCCACTGACACCACTGCATATATAAACCATGCGGACAGGAGGGAAGAGGCATTTCTTGCATAAGTTCTTTACTGACGGCCCACTTGCAAAGAGTAAACTGCATACCTTGGCAGTCACACTTGTTGGCGATTGTCCCCATGCATTCTTGCATTTGCAGATGCCTAGCTTGGTCTTAGGCCTATCTCTAGTCTCCTCCAGCATGGCTTCCAGCGTCAGCCTGTCAGCTCTGTAGGGGCTCTGGTCTGGGTCTCTACAAAGTAAGAGGTCGGGGCAGCGTAGGGTATTATGGCTCCAAAACTCGCAGCCAGGATCCTCGTAAGTAGCCTGTTCATGGATAAAAAGCAAAATTAGAAATAATTCTTGAAGAACAAGCTAGAGGCAGAGTTGAGATTGTGTAAATCACAAGTCAAATCACAACAAATAACAGGATGAATGAAAGAGGAATATCTGAACAGTTCACATGAATTGCTTGCAAAAAAAAAACCCAGTGCTGTTAAACCAAACAGTGGCATATGAATTCCTTTGGGGAACTAACCCACCGGGCCGGTTTTTATGTGCAACCTCTATGAGAGAATGCGGCGAAAAAATCATTAAAAACGGGCCTTTTTCACATCTGTCGCCCCCACTTCATTATTCGACAGGGTATACCTTAGATCTCACTACAGTGTGACCCTAACAATATACTCTTTCAGAAAATGAAAGAAAAACTGAATAAGACAATGAGTTTCACTCGCGAATTGATGTTAAACATTGCATTTTCATCTCCCTGTTTTGTGTGTAAACCACGCGTTCAGCCAAGAACTGGTCCATTAACATCATCATAATGTTAAATAGCGCCACCTGGGAGCTTAGATCTCTCGAGTCATTTTTTTTTGTTCATCAGCTTTCCAACAATATAACCCTTATTGTGATTGGTTAAGGTTTAGGCTCGCGTGTATTCATTTACTAAAGAATTGTACATCTAAACTCCAATAAAATTTGCCGTTGCTCAATGGCTCAGCGTGTTGGGTCTGTTTATTGTATACGTGCTAGGCAGCGTTAGTGGATATACAGAGCCCGGGAGCTCTTATCTCTATGTGTCCAAGGTCATCTGGCTGTGCGCTTTGGCCAGTTTACATGGGGTCCTTCTGACCATAAAGGATTTGATATGTTATACCTTCAAAGAAGGTTCAAGTGCTCTCCAACCATGACGTGGCTCCAAAAGACTGGTAGATCATCTCACACGTGACGCCCAGTGTCAGCTCAATAATAGGGTTTTTGGCACTGCACCCACTGTTGGAGACTGGGTTAGGGACTAGATGACTCATCCTGTTCTTGTTAGGGGAGTGTGGGCAGGGCCGCAAAACAACCCCACCAAATTCCTCGGTCAGACATTTGCTGCCACCCAGCTTCAGCCAGAAGCACTGTAACTGCGCAAGGGCCGCTCTTTGCAGTTGGTGGCCCACTTGTACGAAGCTGGCCTATCAGTAATAGCCGCTCAGGTTCAGCCGGAAGACGCTGTGACTGTGCAAGGGCCGCTTGTTGCAGTTGGTGGTGTTTCAGCCCTTTTGTGTGAATCTGACCTAGCATTGACTGCACCTGACCCTTGATGGTAACTGTCACCATATGGTGGACTTGGTAACCTAGACATCCATCCACCAACTTGATGTTGCACATACTTCTTGTTGCCCGACCCAGCAGGTCCTCTAACCTCTAATTGTAAAAGTTGGCTTCCACTGTGTCCTGCAACATAATGTAGAATGAGAAAAAGATTCCAATCACTTCTTTAAAGGATTAAAAAGAGAGAGAAAAATCTGCCAATCCGATTTCAAACACAAACAAACAAACCTGAATTTGTTTAAGTGGTAATTGTTGCAGGGACGACCGTACAATTTTTTGTGCAGTACATGTTGTGTAATATAATCACTTAGACATTTCTGGGTTACAAAATTCCTTTTTCGAAAATTCCACAGAAATTCACATCCTATTCACCAACTTTTTCAAATTTTATCAGATCCAGGTTTTGTAGCGAAGCCTCTAATTAACTGGTTAGGGTTCTGTCACACTTCTGCGTATCCTAATTCCTTATGAGTTGCGCTTTGACATTTTTTTCATACGCAGTCGCACGCACAATACGCACCTCATATGCATCTCTAGCATTTTGTGTAAGTTTTATGTACGCAGGCATACGCATGGTACAGCCCAGTACGCTGGATAGTTTTGGGCATGCACAAAACTACGCTGCGTACGCTGTTACGCAGGTCATACGTTATAAATACGCAGCACATCGGCCCCGCATCGGTTGAGTGCAGTACGAGTACGCTATGTGTTCATGGGGGATAAGCGGTTCATTCGCGGTAATACGCTGACCTCCCGGCACGCACCCCGTCAGCATATGAGCCGGCGTATACATAGAGTACTTGCAGCGAAGATACAGCGCACGCTGAACGAACTCATAGCGAATGCCGACGTATTGCACGAATTAGTACCGCTCATTCTGCGAGCGGGCAGCGCATTGTACTTAAACGCACAGATAGCGTATTTGCTGCAACTCATACACATCTCATACGCAGTGGATGTGCTTAATTCGTTACTTGTACGCTAGATGTGCGTCGCACATTAAAGTCAAAGTAATAAAAAAATTCGACTTTTTGAGCGTACGGCTGCGTATTGAAATTTTTGATAAGGAACTCATAAGGAATTAGGATACGCAAAAGTGTGACAGGGGCTTTATATGAAAGCATTCTTAAGAACATTTGGCATCGAGCTATCACAAAGTAGCCTAGTGGGTAGCAAGATGGGAAAAAATGTTGCAACCTGACGCCACTTCCACAATTGTGTACAAAGTCTTTGGAGGCGGGGGGGGGGGGGCACTTTGTCCCCCCTGGCTGATTTTTTTGACAATTGTTTTTTGTCAACAATGATTTTAATAAATGTTTAAAGATTTTTCTGACATCAATTCCATCAAAGAAAACCTGCTCAACAACCATTACAATGCAACGTGAAAATGTCCATACAAATATGAAGTATGCATAATAATGGTCAGGTTTGAGGAGCGCCCCCATTTGGAAGATGGGTACCAGCCCCTCCTCCCCCCCCCCCCCCTTTTGATTTTACGGAGGGCAAGTGTCCGGAGAACCCCCCCCCCCCCCCTTTTACAGAGGGCAATTGTCCGGAGGGAAAACATGTCTACATTTCGGAGCGAATGTGCGGTTGCCCCCCTGACATCAAAAGCTGGATACGCTGCTGTTGAGATGATATATGAAGAAAAAAAGTGGCATCAGGTTGCAACCCTTTTTTTTACGAGTATTACAAGATCCCTGATTTGAACCCCTGTCGTCCTAGCCTTGGTCAATGCTCTCACCGTTATTCATCCCGTACGCGGTCAATCGTCGGCATACACGCGCTTTGCACATGCATGTAAAAATACAGCGCGATCAGCGACCTCACGCGGCCACTATTTTTATATGCAAATCAGTTGGGGACGATCGAGAGCCTTGGTTTAATCATCCATGTGAGGTTTTGGGGGTTGTGCTCATTAAGTTAATAGCCTTAGATGACCTTAAATGTCGTTTTCTTATTGGTCGATCGTTGCGTGGAAACTTGCATAGTGAAACGTGGCACCGTACATAATCCATACATGTACACGTTGCGTGTCTCTGCACACAGCACCAATGCACAAAAACTGTGGTTCCTGTCACGTCCGCAAAGGCCGAATAGCAGCAAATAATTTGATGACGTCCGGATTTACCAAGGTGTGATTGGACACTCCACATATTAGCCCCGCCTACACTTCTCTGTATTCGCATACGAGGTCGTGCGCTAGAAATCCAGCGCAAAATAAAGAAAAACATAAGCTTTTGCCGACGATTGAACCAAGGCTTGAGAACGTCCCCAACTGATTTGCATAAAAAAATAGTGGCAGCGTGAGGTCGCTGTTCGCGCTATATTTTTACATGCATGTGCATAGCGCGTGAGGATATATGCCGACGATTGACCGTGCACGGGACGAATAAAGACGAGAGCATTGACCATAGTATAAATTTCACAAAAGTTAGACATCTGAAAACAGCAGCACTTTCTGATTAGCCTATAAAGAGGGTGAGAATGCTTCTAAAGCAAAAAAAACCCTACAAAGTAAGCCTAAATGTGAAAATCAAAATTTGGCAAAGTGCGACACGTTTTGGTACATGTAGATGTGTGGCCTATGTTTACGAAATTACGGAGGCAGTCCAGTACCGTAATTTCCTGCGGATAAGACGCGTCTTATCTGATTTTCTAGACCACAAAAACATCGCTGCGCCTTATCTACAGGTGCGCCTTATCTGGTGTCGCTTGAGTTCAAAGTGACGGTCTTTGTGTGAAGAATTCTTTCAATGCCGCAATCAATAATGCGGTCAACCAATCTCAACTCTCCAGACATTGTGACTGTATTTTCATTCCAACAATGCTGCGATGTGTTGATCCCCCATGATCGTGCTTTCATTCCAACAATGCCGCAATGCGTTGATCCCCCTTAGTGATCGTGCTTTCGTTCCAACAATGCCGTCATACAAACGTTTTTCTTTGTGGCCGTTTTTTCATTCCGAAAATGCTGCAATCAGAATTACTTAAACGTTTGGAAATCGCATTCACTCAAGTTCTATTGTGTGAACGTTGAGGGTGTTTATTGTACAGGATATCTTCAAAGTCTGCTTTAGACTTAGGATAATATGAAGTACTAATGTTTATTTGTTGCACTTTCTTTGTTTCATTAAACGTTCAAATCGTTCATTTATTAATTGCCTCTTTTTAGACGTTTGTTTTAAAAAGTATTATGGGAATTTGTATTATCTTATTATAATAGTAGGTCAGGATTTTTATTTTAAATATGGTAATAGGAGTTTTGTTTTAAGAAATTTTTATATTTAGGATAATATTATGATAAGACTTATGTTTCTGGATTTGTTGGGACTTTTCTTATGATTTGGGATATAGGTTTGAAATAAAGGAAAAGAACTTTAAATACAAAAAAACATTACAACAATTTTTAGAAAATATAATAAAACATTTTTGTTACGTCTCCCCCGGTGTGACAGGATTATTTTCGTATGGTATATACATATAAGCGACGCTAGTTTTTGTATTAGTCACCGGTAGAGGGCGCAACATCTGGCTCGGAGGGACTGGGCAAGTCTACGAATCTGATCCAGCGTGCATGTTGCAATATCTTCAGACAGCGCGTGGACCATCGTTTCTGGCGTGCTGGCCGCTGATTGTGCCGCACTGCATTAACAAAAGGCCAAGGAAGGCCAGGATTGGAAACCGCAAGCAAGCATGCACAGCGCGCGTTGGCTGAATGGGTGAAGGTCGGTATCAATTTACATTGGTCTTTTCTTCATGGCTCTACATGTAACCAGCCAATGTGGTTACGGTTTAATTCATCCTCCGAATAGTGTGATCGTTCTAAGGCAACACAATGGCCCCTTTGTGGCGATGTACCGACACCGGGTGACGCCTGGTGTTCTTCTGTGTGTGGTCAAACATGCGTCTTATGCGGCGGTGCGCCTTATCTATTGGCGTTTGAATTTTTTGGGGGTGATTTTAGGGACCTTCGCCTTATCCGCCGCGCGCCTTATCCGCAGGAAATTACGGTAAATAGGCCACATTTATGGGGCTACATTGACCAAGCGCTTGCCTCTCACCAAGGTGACCACGGTTCGAATCCTGGCCGCGGATTGCATGTGAGTAGAGTTGTGCGTTGGTTCTCTCCTGTGCCACGAGGGTACTCCTAGAACTATGAGGCCCACTAGTGGAGCCTCATAGATCAAGAAGCCCGCAAAATTGCCTGCAGCACAAAACACTAATAAAGTACAAAAACGTCCATCAAAATGGAGACATTTCACACAGAACCGCTGCACAGTTTGCCCCTATACTCCGTACTTTATCTCTTGACATACTCACGTATCATGTGCAGAACTAACATAGGTGGATTCTGTCGGTTTTTAGGCCAAAATGATGAAAAATATGCCCTTTCCGCACTGAGCCAACCTGACACTTGAAATGTGCACGCATATGATCGAGCGATGATTTTCGGTTCGCTCGGAGCGTGCCGCGGGGGGTACGGTACAAGCGAAATGATAGTATGTGCATGCGTAGCCCCACTAGTGTGGCCGTCGGTATGCTGCGCTGAACCTCTGGCCACACACCGTGGTACCGCGCGCTACTGAGGACGAAGTTTTTCATAAAATTCAGGGCAGTTTCTTACATTTTCAGTTTCTTACTTTCTTATGGTTGTATTCTATGATGTCTCCTATCACTTCTGGGATGCTTAGCATGTGCTTAGGTCTAATGATGTTCCATTTTCCGAGATATTCTTCAATCTTTCTGGAGTCCATATGCACTCGTGAAACGTCTGGTGATGGCAGCCATTTTGAATGGGACAAGAGATGACCTCAAGCTGTGACGTCGCGTGTATGCAAATTGCTTGTCGAGCGCGCGAGTTGCAAATGCGACGGCTGTTTCCTGTACCATGCATTTATCGTCAGGGGGCCACGTGCACCGATCTCTATTCAGGATCTACGGCACAGGAAACAGCCGTCGCATTTGCAACTCGCGCCCTCGCGCGCTCGACAAGCAATTTGCATAAACGCGACGTCACAGCTTGAGGTCATCTCTTGTCACATTCAAAATGGCTGCCATCACCAGACGTTTCACGAGTGCATATGGACTCCAGAAAGATTGAAGAATATCTCGGAAAATGGAACATCATTAGACCTAAGCACATGCTAAGCATCCCAGAAGTGATAGGAGACATCATAGAATACAACCATAAGAAAGTAAGAAACTGAAATGTAAGAAACTGCCCTGAATTTTATGAAAAACTTCGTCCTCAGTAGCGCGCGGTACCACGGTGTGTGGCCAGAGGTTCAGCGCAGCATACCGACGGCCACACTAGTGGGGCTAGTGCATGCGTACAAGTGCATGTACCGTACCCCCCGCGGCATGCTCCAAGCGAACCGAAAATCATCGCTCGATCATATGCGTGCACGTTTCAAGTGTCAGGTTGGCTCAGTGCGGAAAGTGCATATTTTTCATCATTTTGGCCTAAAAACCGACAGAATCTACCTATGTTAGTTCTGCACATGATACCTGAGTATGTCAAGACATAAAGTACGGAGTATAGGGGCAAACTGTGCAGCGGTTCTGTGTGAAATGTCTCCATTTTGATGGACGTTTTTGTACTTTATTAGTGTTTTGTGCTGCAGGCAATTTTGCGGGCTTCTTGATCTATGAGGCTCCACTACGTAGAGCCTCATAGTTCTAGGAGTACCACGAGGGTTTTTCTCCGGGCTCTCCGGTTTTCCTCCCTCCGGAAAAATCAAACACTTTCGATCTCAGGCTGTGCTCCGTGGTCATATATGGTTCTATGTGGCCGGCAGCCATAGGCGCCTTTATGTGCCAGCGGCCCGACCACGTTGTAGCCGCGTCCTTTGCAATTCAGCATACCAGCTGCCAGTAAGGATGATTAGCCTCCCAAATTATGAAGTTATTATGAAGGCTACTGTCGTCCGGCTGTTCATTTTCATTCACTATTTTTGTTCTCTGACCGAGTATTTTTTTTTGATACAAAGGAAAAACATAAATTAGCTTAAGTGGTACAACCTGGAGTTGGGATTCTGGCACGAGTTTTGTGCCTAATTTCAGGACGGCACCGTTTTTCGGTTTTTGCTGCTGGCAGTGACAACGGACCTGATGATGACACGCCCCGGGCTAAATTTGTGTGATCTCGGTATCTCTAAATTTGGCCCAAAACATCCAGTACAAGTTCCAGCATTAAGATGATGATACACTTAGTTAACTTACATTTCATATGGAAGGTGAAATTTCCCGTTCTTGGCCGAGAGCATTTTCGTGTCCTGCTGGAAAATACGAGCAACCCATCACACAGCATAGTGACATACCATACCAGCACTGGCAGTGATGGACCCGCCCTTCTCATGCCGTACGTACAGTACATGTGGGCCGATGCAGCTACTCGACTCGTGGACGCACATTCTTTCGTTTTACACGCACTTCAACGGCTGTGCTCTCTTATCCTATCAAAAGCCGTGCAAAACAATACGGTGTCATATGAAAACGCGTCTCCTATAAAAACTGGATTCTGTGACCCGTTATTGGTTAAAGGTAAAGTCCATCTTTTGTAATTTGTGCATTTAGTGTTCGTTTGAAGCAACGTGCTCAGTCAAAACCTAAAGAAGGGTGCTGAACAACTAATCCGAAGTTTCAGTTCAGCTGAAAGCATTCTAGAATCTCGATAAAATCAAAAGTTGTTGAATCACATAGGTGTATAGCCAGCGGGGAGTGGGGGGAAGGGGATATTTACCCCCCAATATTTTGTAAAGACTGCCTTTTTCCATTCAAATGCCCTTTCTTTGTCAACAGGCTTACCCCCCCCCCCCCCCAAGTAATTTATAAAGAGTGCCTTTTTTTTACGAAGTGCCCTTTTTTTTTAACAAGTGCCCTTTTTCAAAAAAGGAGTGGTGCCTTTTGTATGGCATCTGCCGTTTTGGTAGTCTATGTGATGCCCGAACAGATTTGCTGATTAATTAGGCAAGACTCCGCCTCTTGACTTCCTAGATTGTGACCAATCAGCAGGTGCTTTCTATAGGCCTATCGGCAACCTCGTCCCCAGTGCTTACTTTATTTCCAACCGCGTTTCCAATAGTAAACCCTGGATAGGAAACTTTCTTACTGTATCCTGATTGGATACCGCAATTGGCTAGTAATGAATTTTTATCGTGTACTTGGTGCTATATTATTCACAACGTGCAGTACGTGTTTTCGCGATCATTCATCCACGCCTTCTCGAAAATACTAATTTCCTTTCCAGTTTGTTCATATTAAAATGAAATGTGATACTGCATGTTGTCTCGATAAGATCGTAACAAATAAAAAAATCGTGTTGTCGTAACTCACGCCGTGCTCGTGCTGCGACGAATTGACTCTGTTTTTACCCCAGACACCGCATACAAAAACAGACGCTAATGTAAAGCATATCCAAGGCACCACACTATTCCTCATTTGCATACGTGTGCAAAAATCTTGCACATGCAAATGATCCAATACCAGGGTGAGAGAGCAGGTAGTGATGGGCGCGTACTGTTCGACACCCTGGGGACGAGGTTGGCCTATCGGGTCTTCGGTCATTCGTCATTCAATTTTTGGATAGCTGCAAATGATGGACTATAGCTTTAAACCTTTCTGCGTGACCGCGATCGCTCTACTAAATTATTCTTAGGCATGCGCAGTACGTAATTAAGCAGACTGGTGATGGTCATGCGGGAGGGTTTAACCAATAACACGTACAGAATCCAGATTTTACAGGAGTCCCATTTTCATATAAAACAACACGAAATTCTCAAATTACAAAAGATGGACTTTACCTTTAACCAATAACGGGGAACATAATCCAGTTTTTATAGGAGACGCGTTTTCATATGACACCGTATTGTTTTGCTCGGCTTTTCATTGGATAAGAGCACAGCGGTTGAACCGCGTGTTAAACGAAAGAATGTGTGTCCACGAGTCGAGTAGCTGCATGGTATTGGTATCTGGTGGGCGAAGATCTTTGGTGATGGTTGTGGTACATATTGCGTGCATGGTCCTGACCTCGCAGCACTAAGACAATTACTCTTTGCAAAAAACGGGGGAATTTCACCTTCCACATGACCGTAAGTTAACTTAGTGTACCATCATCTTAATTCTGGAACTGCACTGGATGTTTTGGGCCAAATTTAGAGATGCCAAGGTCACCCAAATTTAGCCCAGGACGTGTCAGCGCTTGAACTTTGGTATCCTCTAGCTGGAGTTACCTAGCCCCATAAATGTGGCCCATTTACTGGACTGCCTCCGTAAACATAGGCCACACATCCACATGTACAAAAAACGTGTCGACTTAGCCAAATTTTGATTTTCACATTTAGGCTTACTTTTTACGTTTTTTTTGCTTTAGAAGCATTCTCACCCTCTATATAGGCTGATCAGAAAGTGCTGCCTTTTTCAGATGTTCATTTTTCGTGAAATTTCCAGATACATTTGCACACGTTTGCGTATCAAAATTTCAACATGAAATTCACAAAAAGTAAACATCTGAAAAAAGCAGCACTTTCTGATTAGCCTATATAGAGGGTGAGAATGCTTCTAAAGCAAAAAAAATCTACAAAGTAAGCCTAAATGTGAAAATCAAAATTTGGCAAAGTCGACACGTTTTTTGTACATGTGGATGTGTGGCCTATGTTTACGGAGGCAGTCCAGTGAATAGGCCACATTTATGGGGCTAGAGTTACCCAGCCCTAAATTTTATCATTGGGTTGTCATGTAGGGCTGGAGCTAATTTTTCACGTAACCGAGCAGCGTAGACATTGGTAGGTAGGTAGGTATAGATAAAAGCATTCAAAATCTGAAGTGATGTCATCATGACGTCATCGTCTGATTTTTTATGAATTTTTCAAATTTTAATATTTTCTTCAAATTTTGCAAAAATTGTATAAAATACGATCCGATCGACTTCAAACCTGGCACACACTTAGACCACCATCTGAAGATTCAGGTCGAATCATGACGGCATCATGACGTCATCACGTGTCACTTGACATCATCCTAAAACTGCATAGTTTAAGTCACTATATCTAGAGAATCTGAGGTCCGATTGGGTTCAATCTCGGTATGCAGATATTCCAGGAAGTGTTATAGACACAAATTGCAGTGACGTCACGATGACGTCATCATGTGATTTTATATGAATTATTCAATTTTTGGACCTTTTACTCATATCTCATCGCTGGAAAGTGGTTAATTCGAAATTCTTTTTGGCAAAAGGTTTATTAGGTCGTAGATAGATACAGGAAATTTCAAAAAATGTGTGACGTCATCATGACGCAATGAAAAATGTTTTTTTTATTTTTTACATAGGATCGACACTTTTTGTATAGAATACGCATGTACATGCTCATTCGACCTGGATGAAACTCCTATGCGGCAGTCATTAATAAAACGGTCGAAACAGCTCGGTGTTTGTCCACAAACACATTTCTAGTTTTCTCATTTTTTCTTTTTCCACTTTTTTTCCCATAGGATAACACGTGTTTTCGTTCTACAAGTCACTTTTGGACTTTTTTTCAAATCCGATCGACTTCAAACCTGGCACACACTTAGACCACCATCTGAAGATGTATGCCGAAACTTTTCATCATCATGACGTCATCACGTGTCACGTGACGTCATCCTAAAAGAGCATTCTTTAAGGCCCTATATCTACAGAACCGGAAGTCCGATTTGGTTCAAACTTGGTATGCAAGTATTCCGGGACGTGTTATAGACGAAAATTACAGTGACGTCATTATGATGTCATCGTGTGATTTAATATAAATTATTCAATTTTTGGACCTTTTACTCATATCTCATAAACGGAATGTGGTAAATTCGAAATTCTTTTTGTAACAGGTTTGTTAGGTCATAGATAGATGCACAAAATTTCGTAAAATGTGTGACTTCATCATGACGTCATCAAAAACGTGATTTTTTGATTAACATATAAGGGTATGTCTGATCGTTATGAAACTTGGTGGGTAGGTAGGTATAGATAACAGCATTCCAAATCTGAAGTGACGTCATCATGACGTCATCATCTGATTTTTTTATGAATTTTTTAACTTTTAATATTTTCTTCAAATTTTGCAAAAATTATATAAAATACGGTCCGATCAACTTCAAACCTGGCACACACTTTAAACAACCATCTGAAGATGTATGCCGAATCATGACGTCATCATGACGTCATCACGTGTTACATGATGCATCCTAAAAGTGCATACTTTAAGGCCCTATATCTACAGAACCGGAAGTCCAATTGGGTTCAAACAGTGCCCTAGTGGATAGCAGAATGAATATGGATCGAAAGATCTGCGGTTTGAACCCGCGTCCATTTTCATCAAATATTTTTGTTGGTTGGGATGAGTTTATTAAAGGGAAAACACTACGAGAACCTAAGTGTCTTCCATCCACACAGCGTGATAAATATTCATGTTCTAACATAAGGGTGCGTGATGTCATTGGTTAAAATAGGATGTACGCTGCAAAAAATAAAATACGCAGGCTGGAAGAAAAAACAGTCTGGTTCCTTTTTGTACAAAAAACATTATCATTCAATACTATTATTGGATACAGGGAACATGACTGAAATGGTGGCACTATGATAAAGGTCTATTGTGCATTTTTTTTTTCAATGTGGAGAAAAAAATCAATGTAGAAATCGTTGACACCAAAAAATTTTTTTTTAAATGAGATAATTACACTTTGTAACAATCCAGATGCCCACAGTAGAAAAAAGAATACCTGTTTTGTTAAAATCTGATAAAAGTCTTTGGGAGAAGTTTAAAAAAAATGTTTTAAAAAAGATTATAATTGTTGACGAGAACAGACCATCTCTGAATCTCGCTCGATTGTCAAACTCAGGCCCCAAGAAGATGCAAGAAGATGATCCCGCATCCACCACCATTCTTCGCCTGCAACAGGAAAACAGCGACCTGCTGCAGAGCAATATCAAGCTGCAGAGCCAGCTGTACGACACCAGGGGCGAACTGGCCAAGGCCAAGGTGCGGTAAATGCAATGAACAGAGTAATTGGTGACAGATGGAATGTTTCTTGTGGAATGGAACAGTCCATCTGTCACCTCCAGTGCATTCAATTACTTCTCCCGCACTTACTCATGCAAGCGCGACAGCGTTAGATTTACCTCTCACATGACTTGTCGTGCTTAGTCAAGCCTGGCCCAAGTAACCGACTTGCCGAGCCGGTTACTTGGGTAAATATCCCATAAGGCCATGCAACGTCCTGCGGGCGCCTCATCAGGCCGTGTCCAAAAACGGGCTTGCATGGAGCATAGAGCTACAAACACTATATAGCTCTATGTGTCCCCGCGTATTTTCACTGGGCATGGACGTGCTCTACAGTTAATTGATTCGAATGTAGCGTGGGAAAACTGTTGCAACCTGACGCCACTTCTGCAATTGTGTAAAAAGTCTATGGAGAGTCAAAAATTTTTCCTCACAAAATTGGAAATATTTCTCAGTCCCAGATTCATGTCTTATCATTTTTGCAATGAATGACCTTCATTGAGAGGATATATGAAGAAGATTTAATGGGGGGGGGCAAAAATGTCCCTACCCCCCACTAAAACCATGAAAAATGATAAATCGAGAAAATGTTGAGAAAAACATGAATTTTTTGGAAAATATGTTTTGCCGCCCTCGAGAAAAAATCCTGGCGATGCCCATATTTCCAGCTCTTGAACGAAACTTTATCCGAAACCGTTTATTTAGCTTCACTGCGCGTGTCTGTCATTACGCGAGGAGCCAGGCGCGAGTAAACTGGGGGAAGTAATCGAACGCACTCCTCATAAAATCATTCTTACCATTGCACTCATAAAAAATCTTTCTTTGTTTTTTTTGTATTCCAACAGCTGAACTACGAGCAGTCACTTGTTCCATTCCACCCGGCTTCGCCTTGTGGAATGGAATATTCCGTCTGTCACCTCATGAAATTATTCTTACCATTGCACTCGTTAACATTCGTTACTTGTATTTTGGTATCCCAACAGCTTCACATCGAGCAAATCCAAAAGGAAATGGATGAGCACCAACAAAAAATGGAAACGATAAAAGAAAAAATAAACAGGTACCTTAGTGAAAAAATCGTGACAAGGTGGACAAAAGCACAATTTTTTCACCAAAGCATCTCTCTTTTCGAAGAAAAGACGGACGCAAGACATACCACTCTAATGAAAGATCTTGTTGTTCCCTTTAATTTGATACCACATTTGTTGTTGTGATGTTTGTAGTTCTGAAGATATTATCAATTTTTTTTATGTAATAGTTAGCTGATGACGTCATAATGAAGTCATACATGTACATGTCCTTCCCATCATCCAATTTTTTGCGTCCATCTTTTTTTTCGAAAATGTATACCATGGAGATACTTTGTTGAAAAAATGGTGCTTTTGTCCACCGTGTCACGATCCTTGGCATTATTATGCCCCGCCGGCGAAGCCGAAGGGGCATACTGTTTCCGCCTTGTCCGTCCGTCTGTGTGTGTGTGTGTGTGTGCGGGGGGGGGTGACTACAAATTTGTATCCTTGTGGAGACACACACACAATAGGGAACAAAACATTGTAAAGGTCTCCACAGGGCAATTTCTATAGATGAATAGGTCTCCACAAGGTTTTCACGAAATAGATATATGGGTTTTACTCAAAAAATAGGAATTTCCAAGGTGGGTTGATTTGTCGCAAATGGAAGAGTTTTAGAAAAGGGATATTAAGTCCAAATTTCAGCCAAGGAAGCTAATTCTGGTTAAAATAAGAGCATTTTGAAACTTCACTTTCAAAATTGAACACTTTACTACACGAGAACAAAGGAACGTCTCCTATACAAATTTGCGAGTGTGTGTGTGTGTGTGTGCATGTGCATACAAATGGTTCCACATTGGAATCTGGATTGTCCATGTATGTCTTGAACCTTGATACAATGTAGCTTGCTAGTATAACTTACATGTGTAAGTTTGGACCCCATAAGACAGGCCAAGGTCATTAGGATTAAAACAATAGGATTTTATTTCATTTGATTTTTTTTTAATAGTTTTTTCTTAATTTTTTTTTTTACGAAACCAGTGTATGTACATGTGGCTTGCTAGTATAACTTATAAGTTTGGACCCCACAAGACAAAGGCCAAGGTCATTAGAATTGAAACAAAAGGATTTTATTTTGTTTTATTATTTTCATTTCCCCCCCACCAAACCAATATACATGTGCAAATGTAATCACTCACTCAAATATTAGGGGCCTGTACACTGTCTATGCATGTACATGTTTTGTGTATAATCAATGTGGCTTCTTCACCTTTTTTCTTGGACAGCCATATTTTTAATTGAAACAACAGAAAACAAACACATGTACATGTACATGTATCCAAAACTTGAGACTTGCATCGTAGTACATGTACATGTTTATGCAGCTCTGTAGGTTGTTTTTAGGATTTTGAGTCACTTTAGGATCCCATAGGCCAACTGTTCGCATTATTAAAACCCAAAGAAATAATGTCGTGATGATAACTCAAGCTTATTCAAATAAGTATATATTCTTTTGATTATTTAAGAATTCTTATTTTCATGTAGACCTTGTAAATGCTCAAAGGATTACGCTAAAAGGATTTGCCTTTGAGAAAGGTCTTGCTTTAGACTGAAAATATTCTGTCGCTAAAAACAAAAATTCATTATGGGATCATAGCCTAAAGAAAACAATAACGATGTTGAACGTTCCATGTGACCCAGTTAATGTTAATAATAGAGTGGTGTTATGTGATGGAAATAGGCATGGTTGCGGGGCATTTGTGTTTTTTAACACTACTTTTCTTGTTGTCACTAAGGTACATGTCACTGGTGACGTCACAGGATCTGAAACTTTTGAAGAAGGAGAGACATCTCAAAGATTTGAAGGTGGGGTGTAGAGGGTAAGGGCATTTTCGACTGTTTGCCAGTAATTCATTTACACCACTATTTGTCCAAGCAAAGACTCTAATTCAAACAACATCGTGTAATGATGACGTCATGATGACGTCATCAGGTGTTTATTTATAGGCAATTAAATTGTGACACTTTTAATATTTAAAATGCATAAGAAGTCAACCGTACGCGTCCGCAGCATTCTGTTGCCGGCAAGTGGTAGAGTAGGTTGAGGTCTTTATTTCATTCAGTGTGCGTGCAATCACGTGACCCTTGCTTCCGGTCGAAAAAGGCCAAAACCGGAAGTGGCTTATTTTTTAAAAGCGGCAATAGGTATGAACTTGCTTTTAACGGTGTTAGTCACTTGGCTGATAGTATTCTTCAAATCATCTACCGATGACGTCATGCAATCTTCGAGCGCCCTCTAGCGACAGGTTGAAAAAAAATTTAAATGTATTTTGAATAGATGTCTGAGGTGAAGTTTGTCAGAATCACCTTAATATTGGTGTATATGATGACCTTGACCCACTTAAGACGTGTGCGTAGTTTTAGGCGAATGACGTCATCAGACCGGAAGTTATAATAAAAAGACTCTTTTTCATTTGAAAATTCCTGAAAAATCAACCATGGCAGTTATATTAGTTTTTACTTCAATTGTCGATTCAAGGGTAGGTCTAAAATATTTCAAAGCATCGAGGCAATAAGCGAACTCGGACATGCCCTGCGTATGCTTAAAAGTTCAGGTTGACAATACATCTGCTTTAAAATATGCACAGGACGTCCACAATGTATATGTACATGCACGAACGTTGTACATACGCACATACATCGTATGTCAGTCAGCCCGCAGAGCACGTGTTGCTGAGGTCAAATCCTGTCCACAGTGACCGTTTTAGCCGATTCCGCCTAACTTTGACAGATTTTATGTTCATGCATGCGCATAGTCAGGGACTTATAATTGATAAAAAAATCATTCTGCAGAAAAGCCCTATGTTACGTATTTAAAGGTGCAGTTTTTCTGCAGTGGGATTTTCCACAAGTCTTTTCCTATACAACACTGATGTCTTACTGAGTTGTTCTGAACTTCGGCCAAGAATTACTATGAGAAGGACAGAGAAATCATATTTTTTCGCGCTGTCATTTGATTCAAAATATTCCCAAGAGTCAGAATATCAAGTACTATTTTCTGAAAATGTTTCAGTTCAAAAGCAAATCACATATTTAAAGGTGCAGTTTTTCTGCAGTGGGATTTTTGAGCCCATTGACTTTGAATTTCATCTAAAAATATGCGGACTTTGGATAACTGCGCTGAATTACCCCAAGCTAGACTTGCCCTAAATTAAATAGCTGGGAAAAGTGTCACGATATAAATAACACTATTTTCTACTCACAATATTAGTTGTGGAGACAGCAAATGGCAAGTGAAGTGCGCCGCACCTGCGGCGTACACGTAACCAAGCTCCTTAGCAACTTTAAGCTACGCGCTATAAATTTGGCTTCAGTAAGCGCCCAACTATGCGGTTTGTGCATGCAGTGTAATGCCAATGCGCCCAATTCCGCACCGCACACTAAAAGAGCCCAACGCGCAACAGCGCTTTCACTGGTACCCTGTACTGCCAAGCACTCATGCTTGCGCACTATGTACATTTTATGTGCGCAGCTAAAAAATTTCTTATTTCTACCACCCTATAAAGACCAAACCGAAGCTGCAGAGCATCAGTTTCAGCACTACAAGCAAGGGTTACATTAATAGTCACTAGAGTCATGTTTCTCCAATGTCCTAGGGTGTAGCCAGTAGTGTCACTGAATGACTTGCCACCGAAGGACCACTTGCCCCTGCAGGCCTCCCAGGAAGATTGCGTGCATGAGTGACGTGGAGGACTTCAGCGGGAGCTTATGGAACACAGCCTCAGCTGTGCACAGGCCCGTCACCAAGGGGGGGGGGGGGGGGGGGCTGGTGGGGCCGGGCCCCCCTCGGCGAGCAATTGGCCCCCCAAACGGTGGGCCCCCCTTGTTGGTACTATTTGGCCCCTCCTGATGCTCAGGGCTGGCGACGGGCCTGGCTGTGCACAAAACATACAGGTTAGTAATCATCTCATTGGAGAGGGCATCCCCTGCCCAAATTTCTGGGTCAAAATTTCATATTTCACAAGTTCCTCATTCAAATGCCACCTACATGAACATGCACCGAAGCCAATGAATTGAACAAATCTCAACCAGTTAACTTTGGTTGTTGACATGTAATAGTTTACAAATAATGAATGTTTGTAAGTGCAATGGTAAGAATAATTTCATGAGGTGACAGATGAAATGTTCCATTCCACGAGGCAACAATTTTACCTCCGAATGAAATTATTCTTTCCATTGCACGAATGTGAAACATTCATTATTTGTTTTATATAACACCTGAATAAATCCTCTTCATCTGATTGGTTGACTTTTAATAGCCAATTTATTCAAGTTAACAACTGTTTAAAAGTTCGACAAGTTCAGAGCTGTCCCATTTAACTGATGTAAAAGGTTGAGAACTATCATATTCATTTTATCTCGATTTAAAACTATTCCACAAGTTTAGAAGTGTTATTACCAATTCATGCAAGGCAAGTTAAAAGCTGTTCCACAAGTGCAAAACTTGAACAGTGCAACAAGTTCAGAACTTTTACATCCAATTTATGTAAGTTAAAAGCTGTTCCGCAGTGCCACCATTCGCAGCAGTCAAACCGTGCAATGGAAGTTCTATTCACCATGCAATAGAACCTTCATTGCACTGTGTGCTGCGTGCCGCGTGTGCGCCGTGCGTTGAGACAAAGAATTCAATGACATGTGATCAATGATCCACCAATCAGATGACAGGGATTTATTCAGGTGTTTTATAAAGAGAGACAATTAATGGAGGTGGCAGTGACTAATTAATTACTTGTGTAAATAATTGTAATTTATTAGATACTATTATGAATATTAGTATTTGCATTTGCAACTGTATACCTTTTACCGACATGAAATAAATGTTGAACAATGAGATTTATAGTTAACAAGGGGTAAATTAAGCTTCAAAATCAAACAAGCCCAATGATATGTCCCACAGTGACCAAAGAATGGCCCAGCAGGGGTTGGTCACAATAGTAAAGTTCCCCATTCCTCAATGCCCCATGCGCACGTAAAAAAAACAAGGTAACACTCATCGCTAAGAGAAGGAGTTTGCCCGGTGTTTTTGGCAGTGGCTGCTTAATGCGTTGCAGCAGCTTGTGAACTTTTTTTTCTTGAAGAGGTAGAAGAAGACAAAATCGACCGCGAGAAAAGGCAACACACGCGAACCGCAGATAAATTGTTTTTATATATCTTGTATGATTTCCTGTAAAATATTGTGCAGGGATGCTGAGCAAGAGCTTGCGACCAATATCCGCCGTCTGCAAATTGAACAGTGAGCTTCTTAAAACTAACCAAAAGATGGAGAGGCAGCTTGGCGACACCAGAGCCAACCTGGCTGCCTCCAGGCAAGAGTGCAGCGGCCTGAAGCAATCCATTGCACAGGTGACCGCGGCACAGGCTGGCATCACGGCCGAACTATCCCCCGCTAAAACCATGAAAAATGATAAATCGAGAATATTTTGAGAAAAACAGGAATTTTTTGGGAAAATATGTTTTGCCCCCCTCTAGAAAGAAATCCTGGCTATGCCCATATTTCCAGCTCTTGTACAAAACTTTACCCGAAACCGTTTATTTAGCTTCACTGTGCATGTCTGTCATTATGCGAGGAGCCAGGCGCGAGTAAGCTGGGGGAAGTTATCGAACGCATTCCTCATAAAATTATTCTTACCAAAAAAGGATAATTTACATCTTGTAAAATTTTTAAATCCTGCCCAGGTTCCAATCTGAAGTCCATCCAGATGATTCTTAATAAGACAGCAGACGGTACAGGCATAGACTCCAACACCCTGGCCTTACAGATGAAGGGCCATCCTGAGCTGAGGGACAAGCTTCATGTCGTCACCTCTTGAGGGCCTTTGCCTGTCTACCCTGGGGTGGTCAACTCAGAATTACCTGGTAGGTACAGTGGACTCTCTGCCCAAAAACTCTTCCTTTTAAGGAAAAAGGTTAGATGGAACTCTTGAACGCATTGTCGCCCAACACCTTGTGCTGATGTTAAGATATTGGATGATCGTAGTGCAGTGTTTATACAGCACTCTTATACCACACTCTTGGATTGCTCACACTTATTACCCCTGTTCATCAGGCCATGAGAACACTTTCCTGCTGAAGCTCGAGATCAGCAGTATATGGTCTGCACCCCCCATATATACTCAATGGAGAGAGGTAATTGTAGTAATGTATCTTGCCCAAGAACAACAGCGACGTGTCCCCTGTCAAGGTTGACCCAACATGACATCATGCATGAGTCAAACATGGGAACCTTTTGACCACAGGATTCCCCCCGATTTTTAAACACTGTATACTCAGTGTGTTACCTCCTGAGTAAAAGTTGGAAAAAAACCTCCATCTTATGCAAAATTCCATCTTATGTATGCGATACTCGCTGCTATGTACATCATATCCCCTTAGATCGGTGGATGAGTGGTAAGACATCTGCACTAGAAAGCAGGAGGTCGTGGGTTCGAGTCCCACCCGAGGAATTTTTTCCAACTTTCACTCAGGAGGTAACACACTGACCATTTATACTGTCCGTTTATACGTACAGTTAATACGTCGGTGAAGGGCAAAACCTAATTGATTTACATCACCCCGACGCAAAATTCCATCTTATGAATACTGCATCAAATAAGTCATACATCTTTTGCATAAAAACATTTGTTGTGTGGGAGAGGGAAGTACCTCAGACAGTCAGACCACCATTTAAACAGAAGATCTGACCTGACACGTGTACATGAGGACATACAAGGGCCTCATGATTCTGACATTTAGTATGCCTGTACAAATTTTAATAATGTTGAACCCTGCGTCATAGGTCAATCTAACAATCTACGCACTAACCAGCTGACAATCTACGCCCTTGCCAGTATCAGACTTTAAACGGCCAGCAAGAACCTGCCGTTTTGAGTCTGTGTTTAGATTAACCACCATTTTGCTCGTCTCAGTTTGAATATTCTTTGGGGTCTTTTTTCCTCAGAGGATCTCAAGACATCTATCACCAGGCATCTTCTCAACATGCATCTCGACCCCAAATGGCAAGCTCAACTGAACCAATACATGGTGTCCAAATTTGTGCCGGTTACGCTGGATCAGAACAAAGGTTTGTTAAAATAAACAAACAAATGTCCCGATAAACCAAAAAGGGAAACCGACGATTATTTCATTATAAAATATATTGCATTATTACAATATAACAATTGTAACAAAATAAGGAGACAATGCTATATTTTAAAAAATAATAATAAATCGTTGTTGAAATCAGTACTCATAAATTGTAACTTGTCATGATGCAATTTTGTGCTCTAAATTAATAATGAAAGATACATATTTTATAATGTAAACATGTTTTTTATTTTTTTTTATTTTACTGAAACCAAAGAGACTATTTGTCAATGTTCAAGTTATTGTCACATCTTGCTGTGTGCAATGAGTTCGTTAGCAGGGCTCAAGTTTTGTGTGAAAACAGTACCTGAAAGTATTATTTACTGGACCAATGTACATTGGCAGTTAAAATTGAAACACTGTTACTTAGAGCCATGTGAATCATTTGCAGTTACCGGGAGAAGCATTGATTTAATGACAAAACTCTGCTCAAAGTCAAGATAGGAGTGGTACCAAATACCCTTTGAAAATATTCCAGCTGAAATTGTTTCGTTTGGATGAAAACTGAGGTGGTGTTGAAAGAGGGTGTCCACGGAACATTTTAACATTAATGCATTAGCAATGGAATCGAGTTACAAGACACCCCAAAAAAGTGAATGTATTTCCTCGGTTTTCTTAAAATGTATGCTATCTGATCAACCTTCAACAGGTTAGTTGTCATGCACCCTGCTTCAGACTTTTAGCAATTTTGTTGCTTCAAACAAAAGTAAAGGCACAAGAAGCAAATAATCATATGTACCTTTTAAGAAAGTTGCAGTCATTAGGATTATACAAGAAGTGCATTTCATTGCTTCTGATGGTAAACGGGAAACATCAAATGTGAACATTTTTAATAGTCAAATGAGTCTTGCATATGTAGGATTAGTCATGATCACGATAATCTGAGACCAGATTTAGACAACACATGCAATCATGAAAGGCATGTATTCATCTGAGTGCAATGTGTAATTATAAAACATCAAGATGAATTTGTATTCCCTTTGTTTTAAGTTACCAAAACTTCCAAAGAATTTATATACGATTTAGAAGTGTTTTTGTCATTACGCATAACCATCACTAAAGAGTGAAATACATTTGAACATCAAAACAATGTGAGTTACAGTGAAGTGCAAATTTATTTATGCAAATGCGATAAGGTTTTCTGTCATGGATATTGGTATGAACGTAGATGATGTGGATATGATTCGCCTACTTTAGTGTACATGTAGTTGTGTTTGTCATTTATAATACATGCACACCATATAGTTATTAAACTTATCAGAATTTATGTGCTGTAAATTTTGGATTTTTGTGACTTGGTTTAAAAATTAACAGTCACTTCTTTCATTTCCAATGGCAAATTATTAAAGTGGATGCGGTGTTTAAAACGAATCAGACTTTCTATTCTATAAATGTTCTAGTTTTCTGGCAACGTGATATTAGAAATGAACTCTTTTGAACTTTTAATAAAATTGTATTTTCAATGGCAAATTTTATATTAAATGCATGTACATGTAGATCTGAGCCAATTTACTTGTTTTAGTCAAATTATTCTGTGTGAAAGATTGACCATTTTTTCCTCTGGCTTATTTCATTGGGTCACGCTTAATTTCTTGGTTACAGATTCCCAATGTGTAAAAGTAGATATCATGGCTAAAGGAAAGTACTCAAGAAAAATAATCAAACCCAACTTTAAAATATCTTTAAAAAATTTAAGTATCTTCCTTTTCTTGTACATATATTCAGTGGGGAGTGCCCAGGGGAGTGCCGATAAAATCCTACAATCGTGCACACTAAATTACCTAATAGTGTACTGGGGCGGATCCAGGAATTTTCGCAGGGGAGGGGGGTTCATCAGCCAAAAAATTAGAAAATGTAAAGGGGGGGGGGCCTGGCCAAATTCGACGATTAGTAACACTAGATTACAGACTGGTGTACCGTATTTTTAACAGGCGCACATTATACAAGTATATTTTTTTAAGAATTTGTATGATAATTTTTTTTTAAAGGTGAGTACCCTCAAATAATCCGGCCCATTTCGGTTCTGTAGGCCACATCTCTTGCGTTTACCACAATTTGGTAAATAATGGACTGAGCTGCAGCTCTGCTATTTGCCCAGGATATCATACATATACGTAAACACAAAAACATACATACATAATCTTAACACCGTTCTTAGGGAACTTTGTTCTACTTTTTTTCATTTTAAGGTAGCATTTTTGATATCGGGGGTCAATCTCTCTGGGGGTTATCCTGCCACCAAGTCTATGTTAAAAAGTTTCTACTGGTAACTTCAACAGCGCCCTCTAAACAAATCTTTGAGAGTGGCGTTTTCGAAATTTCGGACTAGCTTCGGAGTCAGTAACGTAGTCATTTCCACAACTAATTACATGTCCGATACAAGCCTGTCATAACATTTGGGCTGTTAACAACAAAAAATGTTCATAGCAAAACAAAGACCGATACCAGTATATCCCGAAAGTGACAAAATAACATCGCTGGAAGTCAAAGCCAAATCTTTCGAACGAAACCAATGTTTACGAAAATTCCCAAGGTATGACGTATTGCCCACGTGAGGGCGCATACAGGTGGTGTTGTTTTGTGACACTGACAGGTGCAAAATGAATGGTTACAATTCACATGTGGCGGTTTGTTGTCATGTCAGTGCTGCATGCACATGTCACAATGAAAAGACTCTGCACTCAAGCCCGTCTCCCAAGTGTCGTCGCCATGTTGGGTCACTTTCTCCGGATGTTTTCATGGTTGTATCTCTGCTAATTTGTGACTGTGAGGTACTTGGTTCAGTGTGTCCGCCGTCAACTCGATTTTATTAACCCCGGAAAAACTGCAAGACGTTCATTGCCTGGTCAGTCGTGAGTATTTAACAGGGACAGAATCGTATTACCAAGGTTGCGATCATGTGCATTCACTAAGCGCGGGCTTTGCAATCGCATCAACGTACCTTTTCCATAAACCGTAAATCTAAGATTTTCACATAATCCTATTTAAACATTTTGGATTTTGAGCATGTTAAGGAAGTGACAATTAAGCTAGTGGTTACTCACGTACGTCACAATATGTGCATCCCCCCATGTTGAAGCACTTGAAAGTGTTCAACATATTTAATTGGCCTGATCAAAGATCAATCTGACAATTGATAATTATTATGTGCCAAAAACAGGGCTGATGGCTTTCAGGGACTTCATTCATCCTTGCAACATATCTCTCTCTGTTATTTAAGTCTCTGTTGTATCATAGTGGTGATGTGAAGTAGTTTTCTATAAGAAATAATTAATGCTGGGTTCCTTTATTTTCAATAGGACCCAAAGAAATATTGATTGTGAAAAGAATGCACAAGTCATATCCCTCACACCTTTTGTGACGGAAATGACAATTATTATATTACTTGGCTTTTGGAGGTATAATTACCTTTTCAAGTTGTTTACAAATTATGGCAGTAGGTACATATTGAGAAATACACTGGGACATGCATTTTCAGGGGGTTTTGAGGGAGTATTGTAAAGAATGAGCATCTTGTCCATTATGTTAAAGAGTTTTTAACACTGCACATAATAGGAGTCGTGTTAAAGTTAATTTCACTGCTCAAAAATCTAATTTTCATTCTATATTTTTTCAAAGTATAGTGCCTTAAAGTGTCGGGACATGAAAGTAGACACTTGATACTGAAGAATGACCCATAGGCCCCTTTTTAATAAGAACTTGCTGGAAGTGTACATGCGGGAAGAAATTCATGATAAACATCTCCAGCATTTAGGATAGAGATAAACCCACGAATGATTCTAGCGGAAGGTTGATGCATTGGCAGTTGTACTGTTTAACTATGTTCACTATAGGGTGTCAGTGGGTACATTGCATTTTTTGAAGAGAAGCTGAAACAATTAGAATCAGTAAGTGAAAATTTACAAAAATCCACTTTGACAAAAGATGTATATCATACATTTAATTTAGCCAGTTAAACTGTGCACATTAATTTACTTGTGCTTTTAACAAATTCAATAAATATATAAAATCTGATATCAAAAAGTAATTTCATCCTCTGCAGGCTGAGTGTCAACATTAAACTGAAATCCACAGGCAAAAGGGGAACTATGTATTGGTGGAGTGAGGAAATTATGGATGTGACATTTACACATTTAAACATTTAATATAATAAACAAAGTTCTAAATCGTATTTTTCCAAAGGTTTTAACAAAACTCAAATTTTAAAAGCAGGAACCTATTTTCCGCTATCTTCCTTTGAGTTGAGCACGCATAACAAAAATAATTCAAACCTATTCAATTTGCTAAAAGCTAAGGAGAACTGCAGTACTAGATTACTTTCAGGCTACGTGCTCATCTTTTTATTGTTTTCAATGACAGCCCTCTTTTTATTATGTTACTCTTTTATTATTAAATTATTGTGTCGATCATGTTGGTCTGCACAATGGGCAGTCATCAGTCTTTGTGAAAGGGCTCAACATTGAGATGGTTCTTTAAATGTTTGCTAAACATTTACAAAATGAAACGTCACATCCTTAGAAGACATTGGAGGAGGAGGTCTAAGAAATTGGAGGAGGAAGGCAATTGGGGGTCTGTGGATGTTTGAGCTACTACGTACATGTAGAGGGTAACAGATGTCTCTGATGGTGATGCTGAAGTTTTGCAGAGCTATCTTCTGTTTGCTGACCTTCATTGCTGGACGGACAGAGCATGGATGTAGCTGCTTGATACTCGTGATGATGGTGTCCCTTTTGGTGAGTGCTGGGTGTTCACTGATTTCCTGTAATTCTCCCCATCTGCCATGTGCTCTGTGTTTGTGCTGTCTGGCGTTGAGTTCTCTTGCTGGTGTACCCAGTGTACACCTTCTGCATTCGCAGGGGATGCATCAGGTTCGGTCTTGGAGGCTTGCTTGTCCTGTGGGCTATTGT